CCAGTAGACTTGTTATTGTTTTATTGTTTAAACCTGAATTTCCTGTAGGCACCAGAAAATATGGGACGTAGAAATCAAGAATCAATTTTTCTTGTAATCACGGTACTCTCTTTTCCCCAAAGAGAATCTTTAAATCTTTCCATTTTTAATCTAGATTGGAACTTTCAAAGTTCAAACTATTGAATAACGGAGGCTAGAGAGAACAATCGATGAAAAATAAATTAGACTTATTTTTAGTGTCCTTGAACCAGTAGGTCTACTACTCTACTTCAGGACCAAAGGCCCAAACATATGAACGTTTGCCCGACAGTCAAAATACCGATGCAGGCTAGCAAATATAAATAGCTTCTAGTAGTGAAGTTTCTTCTTTTAACATTGAAAATTGCATTCTACAGCGTGAAAAAAAAAGAATAGTCAAACTGAGAGGAAAAGTCAATTATATCTACCAACTAAGTGCACCGCTGGATTATGTTGACTGGGTTTCTGCTATGCGGTTGACAAAGAGTGGAGTTCGCCTTTCTACCCCAAGACGACACCCTTTGTTTACAGAGAAATTAAGTCTTCAGACAAATGGTTTACACAGTTACCAAATTGACCGCAAGAAACATGTGGTATCGTTTGTCTGGAAGCCTTACGAGGCGTTGAAGACCAAGTAAAGCCACAAGGCTCCCACAGAACTCCCGCGCGACTTCAGAGCAGGAAATGGTATCGATTCTCACGGAAGCAGACTTTGTCCCAAGTGGATTCGAAGGAGCGTCGGATATATACAGCAACCTCATCATTTGAATACCACGAGTCTCCGGTAATGTCGCGTTGATGACCTGTGGGATATCAACAAAAATTCACTGAATGCTGCACAGTTCTAAGCGCAGAATATAGCACTACGTTTTTGCAATGCATGTCTACATATTTAGAAGATGGATAACGTAAAATAAACCTTTTTATTATAACATATTCTTCTGAATGTTCCAGTAAAAATACAGTAACTTGAAGGACTGAGTGAATTTTGATAGTTAAGCAATTTAACCCTTGTTTGTATTATTATGATTTTTATTTTTAATGATTCTTGCAATTCGCTTTTGAGTGGACATTTCTGACACATATCCGAGTTTACCCCCAATTTATTAGAACCCTATGATCCAGTATCGATGCTTGGAACAGATGTTCAGGCTTTCATGTTCTCTTTGTTTACGGAAAAGGCAGGTTGATCATGGGATCTGGGTCGAGACAAACAGCGAAAGCAGACGATTGAGACTACTCGTGGCTCATGCAGGCTGGTTCGACAACAGCTTTGTTTATTGCATTTACTCGGTGCGAAGTGCCCACTATGGGGAAAACTGGTTTCATGTTCTTGTCTTCTCTGATGTCGGGTCAGATTTACTAGAGTTAAGTAGGAGGGCGACAACTTTTAGCTTTTTTTCATACCAAGAGAAGCACGTAAACACAATAACAGTCATACAGTGAGTGCTGGGAAGCTATGGGAAAACAGACAGGAACACAGAATGAAAGAACAAAATACACTCACGCGCGGAAACACACCCCCATCTCTCTTCTCT